ACTAGGGGTGTTGGGGACGAAAGAACCTACAATGTAATAGTCAGAAACTCCGTGCTGATGCTGACAGACGAAAACATTAAAAACATTCCTTACTGAAGTGCTAAATGACATTATAAACATAAATTCACTGAACAGCTACCTAACCGGAGACTAAATATCCATTATGCAGAACTCAAGCTCACAGGGCAGGACAATAAAACTTCTTTTTCTAACTTATTATTTTTATTATAGGCTTTAGATCGATCCGCGCGACGCCAGTTAACACGTTGGCGCCATTGTTAATGTTCTTTATGTTATTCTACTTTTATGGAAATATACATTTATTAAACGCATGTCAGCTGGCAAGTATCATTGTAAATATCATTTTATTTTATTTTCCTATACATATGTATTTAATAAAAGTATGGCTCAGTTAACACGTTGGCACCGTTGTCAATATTATTTCTTTCTCTCTGTTTGTTCGTACACACACACATACACACACAGACACAAATACACACACACACACATACATTACAAACACAAACACACACGCATACATACAAACACAAGCACACACATGCATACAAACACACACACATACAGTCACAAACCACACACACATACAATCACAAACACACACATGCAAAAAAAAAAAGAGAAAAAAAAACACACATACAAGAACAAACACACACAAACACACATACACACACACAAACACACACATAAACTCACACACAAAACACACACACATACACAAACACAAAGACACACACACACACACACAAAGAAATCGACAAAGATGAATAAAAATCGCACATTTTTGCTATAGGTTTGGGCTGTAATCATTCAGTTAAAAAGGAGTTTCTGTATGTGAATAAAAAGACATGACCAAAAATCTTTTACTGCTTAACAGGTCCTTCATGACAGCTTCAGGAAATCAGACACTGAGAGCTTCGCGCATGGAAACATGGCAGAGACGGAGGACAGGAAACGAGGGTCATCGACGGCGTCTTTTGGAGGAAGCGGAAGAAGAGAGAGATTTCCCTGGAAATTTGAACATCAAATGCGTTGCCTTTATCTCTACACTTATGTGTTTATCTTTTTCCATTTTCTGCGTTTATCTTATTTCATCCCTTTATGTTAATATCCGTCCTTTAAGATACTTGATACATTAACATGCATCGTCTGAAATTTTCTCGTATTATTTGTCTATTCCCTTCACCTCTGTCTTAAGCATTGAGGTAAAGAAAGAAAGAAAAAACGGTTATGGCAAATTATCTTTATTGGTAACGAAAGTTGTTCACTCTGTTCATATGCTCTGGAGGCGCTCGGCCCCGAGTCGACTGGTCCTGCAGAAGGCCCGGCGGCGGGTCAGGCAGCCACGCTACACGAGGGTCACGGGAACCACCGTGCACGCCTCAGGCTCCCCGGCAGCGTTCTTCAGCTTGAACGTCACGACGGTCGACAGCTGAGGATGCAGGACCTCGTCAGTCAGGGACACAACTCAATAGGGACAAGCAGGATGGCTATATACTCACTCTTTCATCTGTTTTGATGTCACCTTTTGCCTCTCTGCTTTCCCCCTCCCCCGTCGCTCTCCTCACCCTTCCTCCCTATTCTTCCCTCTCTCCCCTCTTCCCCTCCCCCGAGGCACTCACCGCTGGGTACTCGCTAAGGACGGCCACCGGCATGGTCCAGTCGACGCGACTCCCGCTGCTGTAAGGGCACGGGTTGGAGCCTCCTTCCAGCTGCTTGCATCCGTCGGTGTCTATTCCGGGCCAAGGGACGTTGATGCCGGCCAGGTTGGCTGAGGCGTCGATGGTCAGCGCGTCCGAGGTCTG